GGGCACGAGTCTTTTCTAAGATCGATCTCAGGTCGGGCTACCACCAGCTCAAGGTTAAAGCCGAGGATGTTGAGAAGATTGCTTTTCGGACAAGGTATGGCCACTGCGAATTTTTGGTTATGCCCTTCATGTCCGGCACATCTTTTTATGACTTGGGCTCGCCTTTTGATGGCACTTCTTTTTATGGATTGGGCACGCCTTTTTATGGCACGCCTTTTGAAAGATTGGGCACACCTTTTGAGGGTGCGACTTTTTAAGGGTTCGACAAGATTCTGTAAACTGTCCCGACATTGATTTCGGTTAGTTTCTACAAGGGTCCAGCAAGACCCCGTAAACTTTCCTGCTACAACGGTCCGACATGACCCCATAAACTGTCTTCTACATCGGTCTGACACCGCCATCCAGTGTCCTCTACACCGTTATGACACCCCTATACAGTGTCCTCTACAACGTTATGACACCACCATCCAGTGTCTTCACCAATGGTCTGACACGACCATACAGTGTCTCCTATCCTCTTTTATTTTTATGTATTTTCTTGTTTTGTTACTCTCTCCAAACTCAAGTTGGTTAGTTCCTTTCCCCCTTGAGTTTGCGGGGGGCTGTTAAAATTCACCTACTACACACCTACCACTACCACCTACTTCACCTACTCCTCACCTACTCCATACCTACTACACTCACCTACTCCATACCTACTACACACTCACCTATTCTCTTCTCACATCCTCTCTTCTATATATAGGAATCATTGTAATATATCAAAAAATTAATCAATAATACAATCATTTCTCTTTATACATTAAATTTCTACAGCAAGACATACTCCCCAATGAAATCCTTAGTCAAAAGCATTTAACTTTAGCATATCTCATTGGTTCAATGGTAAAACATTGGCCTAATAACCTTGAGGTTATGGGTTCAAGTCACGGGACAACTACTTTGTGCACTATGCCAAAAGTTAGGTGTATACCCAATCTTTCCCCTCCCAAGCACACATTAATGTGTACTAATTGGGCGTTGTTTATATCTCATTGGATGCTAAAAAGGTTCAAAATCATTGCATATTTCATGGTCAAGAATTTTAAATGAACTTAACATGAAATGTACAAGTATCCCTAAGGACATTGTTACCATTGTTTTCCCATTCAGTTAAAGCACAACATATGCATCTAGAAAAGAAAAAATTGAAAGCACTTTGAGTGGAATATAATTCTCTCAAATTAACCTAATCAATCTCCTCAAACTCTGCTTTAATTAACATTGTAACTATAGCGCTTTCCTGCAACACAACGCATCTCAAGTACCAAAAGATGGTCATGACCACTTCACATTTTCGGTTCTACAAGCTGAGAAGCTATTATACGAGTAAGATTTACTAGATACTGCCAGTGCCAACTTATTAACATTAACCATTTTAACTTTTAAATTAGGGAAATGGACATGGAAATTTTAGTGTCTTCAACTCCCAAAAGATTATAATAAAAATGGACAAGGACGTCATTAATCTAGACAATCTTGCACCACAAAGAAAATTTACATCAACCACACTTGCTGTCCTCTATGAACCAATAAAAACTCCCAACCAATGGAAGCCATGTGGGTATCCATAATCAAAAGGGTAAAAGATGATTGCATTAGTATTTAGCAATGAATTATCAATTGGAAGCAACAAGTTAAAAAAAAGTATTCCACAGAAAAAAAGAACAGCCATATGGTGTGAGAAAAAAGCCATCTATTAAATGTTACATTAAATAGTTTTGGATATAGCAACACCGATATATCAATATATATGTGTGTGTATACATGTGTTAATACATATATATATATATATATATATAGGGAGAGAGAGAGAGCATGCATTTTAATAGAAACATAAAAGCTTAAGGACCTGAGAGTGATCAAGGTTGGTGTTAAATAGTGAGAAAGTAACATCCTTCTTTGACACTGTTGGCGGTCGCTCTCCAAATAACACAGGAACTAAGTCGGCAGCAGGTCCCCTCAGCACTCCTTTACTTAGTTGAATCAATGTATCCTTCATCCTACGGTATGTCACCTACAAAAACAATTTAGATGCACAACATTCTTCGTTAGGCTTGTTAGAGTTTCAACCATTTTACTTTCATGCTAAGCAAATATATATATATATATACATACAATATTTTTAGAGATTTTTTTGTGAAAGCTATACCTCATTGGCCACTTTCTCAAGACGTAAAGGGCTGTTTAAACCCTCCTCCGAGATATCATCAAAAGCAACAGTGATTGATGAGTACTGTTCAATATAAAAACCAATTTACATCTCAATCAATTGAAAATAAGAAAGAAAATATATATATTTTCCATGACAATAACCAGCACCATCAATAAATGCAATACCGATGTAGTGTTTCGAAGGCAGAATTACCTTCAGACGATAAACCACACCTTGACCCAGTGGAGGTGACCCTAGATTAGCTTTGTTTGGTTTTAAAACACAACAATGATAGAGACCACTAATTTTGGAGCTCTAAAAAGACCACTAATGACATGACACTCAATAAAAAAAGAAAAAAAAATACAACACCAAGGCCAAAATATCAAATCATTCATGCTGGGGCCTACTGCCACATAATTAGTGGTAGCACTAATTAGTGCTCCCACTCATTTTCCTTTAAAACAACAACATCATGAATCCCAAACTGCAAGGAGAAGAAAAATACATTATTAATTATCAACTTCAGTTTCCATTAGTTACAAAAACACAAACAGTTGAAGTATGAAAATGAAGAAAAAGTTTCTTGGAAGAATTATTAACTTCAGTTTCCATTAGTTACAAAAAAACAAACAGTAAGTATGAAAATGAAGAAAAAGTTTCTTGGAAGAATTATTAACTTCAGTTTCCATTAGTTACAAAAAAACAAACAGTAAGTATGAAAATGAAGAAAAAGTTTCTTGGAAGAATTATTAACTTCAGTTTCCATTAGTTACAAAAAAACAAACAGTAAGTATGAAAATGAAGAAAAAGTTTCTTGGAAGAATTATTAACTTCAGTTTCCATTAGTTACAAAAACACAAACAGTTGAAGTATGAAAATGAAGAAAAAGTTTCTTGGAAGAATTATTAACTTCAGTTTCCATTAGTTACAAAAAAACAAACAGTAAGTATGAAAATGAAGAAAAAGTTTCTTGGAAGAATTATTAACTTCAGTTTCCATTAGTTACAAAAAAACAAACAGTAAGTATGAAAATGAAGAAAAAGTTTCTTGGAAGAATTATTAACTTCAGTTTCCATTAGTTACAAAAAAACAAACAGTAAGTATGAAAATGAAGAAAAAGTTTCTTGGAAGAATTATTAACTTCAGTTTCCATTAGTTACAAAAACACAAACAGTTGAAGTATGAAAATGAAGAAAAAGTTTCTTGGAAGAATTATTAACTTCAGTTTCCATTAGTTACAAAAAAACAAACAGTAAGTATGAAAATGAAGAAAAAGTTTCTTGGAAGAATTATTAACTTCAGTTTCCATTAGTTACAAAAAAACAAACAGTAAGTATGAAAATGAAGAAAAAGTTTCTTGGAAGAATTATTAACTTCAGTTTCCATTAGTTACAAAAAAACAAACAGTAAGTATGAAAATGAAGAAAAAGTTTCTTGGAAGAATTATTAACTTCAGTTTCCATTAGTTACAAAAAAACAAACAGTAAGTATGAAAATGAAGAAAAAGTTTCTTGGAAGAATTATTAACTTCAGTTTCCATTAGTTACAAAAAAACAAACAGTAAGTATGAAAATGAAGAAAAAGTTTCTTGGAAGAATTATCAACTTCATAACATGAGACGAAACTGAAGAAGTAACCTTACTAACATGATTAATTCGACATGGCAAATCAATATATCGTAGCACACATCACATGATAACATGTAATAAATATCAAAATCAAAATAGTAATGAGTGGACATTAGACACTCACCTTGTGGGCAGGAAGAACATCACCTTTAGTAGACTGAAACTCGAGAAGAGATTTTCCCATTAATCCTGTCTACGGTGAGAACAAAATCAACAAAGTTAGAGAAAAACAACCCAACAAGTTAAATGATTTAAACCCAAAAAAAGAAAAAAGAAAAAAAGGAAGAGAGAAAATAAAGCAAAATAAAGAATGCACTACCTGAGCATCCACACACTTCAAATTAAGAATGGTGGAGCCTTTCTTCAGAGCAGCATCCAAAGTCCTTGTTGCCCCCGAAGTCATGGAAGCTGATAATACAGTCATAAAAACAACACTATACATGTCAGCAATTTCTTTAAGTATTTTTCTTCTTGCACTTTGTTTTCATTATTTATAGTCCATAATTGTTAATTAAAATAACTAAACCCATTTGGATTGAGCGATTTGATGAGAAATGATAAGAAGTGATGAGAAAGATAATTCTTTCTCATGTTTGATTTATAAATTAGACATATAAAAATAAAATAAAAAATAGTGAAAAATTGTAAGAAATTGAAAGAAAGATAACTCTCTTATTATGCCACTTTGATTTCCCACCAAAAAATGGTGAGATTTGGTGAGAAACCGAACTGGTTGGCTGTGTATATATATTTTGTAATACCAACAAGATAACCTATCAAAACACAAAAGGAATAAAATTTCTTTGACTCGTATGCCAATTTCACATGTTTTGCTATCTTAACCCATCCAAACATGATAATAATGAGAAAACCACAAATTTTTCTTTTCTCTATCAGGGCAAGAGCTAATTCCAAACGAAACGGGCTAAACCCTTAGGAGAGGCTACACGATTGAATGCACTTCTTCGAAATACAAAACTCAAAGAGTTGAGAAGGGCTAAGTAGAGAGTGATTAATTCAATGATTCAGAAGATAAAAATGCGAATAGAAGATCCTCAATTCGGCGCATTTCCACTAGAACTGAGATTAAAATGACATATCTGTATATGTATGAATGTATGTATGTATGTGTAGAGAGAGAAAGAGAGGACCTTTCGAGATCGAGTAGAGGGGCCATGGTGGAGACGAACTGTTCAAGAGACATAGCAGATAAATTCTTGCAACTGTTCTTCCCCCTTTCTCCATTTTTAGAGAGAGAGGTTTTGAGAATAACTGGGTTTTGCGAGGATTTTATATATTTTCCCACTTTTTTTTTTTTTTTTTAGTGCCGCTATTAGCGCACATCATTTTTTTGGATAGCTTATATAAGGGTTGTTTGGGGTGTCTTAAATAAGTGTATTTTTTTTATCTTTTTAGACTAAAAAGTTGAGAGAAAAAATATAGATGTTTGGTTAATTTTTTAAATTTTTATGGAAAAATGTGTATTAAAAAATTATATGAATTAGTGTATAGGGAAAAATTAGAATTGAGAGTTGTGCAGCCGTAATTTTTGACTTTTGGTGAATAGTGATAACTTTTTGAATAACTTTTTGACTTTTTTTACACTTCCCAAACTTGGCCTTAGTGTTTTTTTAGGATCCCATTTGTTAATTTTTTTATTACAATAATAATCTTAAATAAAATTATTAACAATGACATTAATAATTTCGAGACATTTCATTTCATAATTAAACCATACACGTATTATATCATGAATTAAGATTTATAATAGCACTTACCTCCATTAATTTCCATCCATCTTCTCCAAATCTTACCTTTAAAACCTACTTACCCTCAACATCTTGAAAATCCTTTGGCATCATTATTTCGACAATAACAGTGACAATCATTTGATTACTTATTGTGTGAGTGATTTTCTGATCACACTGTCCGTCTAGTAATCAGCTAGAGAGTACTGGCAGAATAGATCGCTTCAGCTAACCTGCAACAGAAAGAGAAGGCTCCGACGGTGGTTCTTCCACCCGGGCGCACTCCGACGAGCAAGTCAGTATATCTCTCAAAGATAATCAAGTGCTAAATTCACTGTTCTGAATACAAATTGCGTACCTTAGACTCGCCGGGAGTGCCTCTCTTTTATAGTTAGCTCAATCCTAGTCCCACTAGAAGCCTGACTTCTATGGACTTCAATTCTGGAGGCCATGTTTGTTTGGGTGGACATGAGCTTGGGATTGGACTAATAGTCCAATAAAATTATTAATCCGATGTTTGGTTAAACAATTGAAGTACGGACTAATTATTTTAAACTTGACTATTAGTTAAGATAGGATACATAATCCAACGGATTCGTAGTCCTAGGACTATTAGTCATGGGAACGCTAATCCAGTCCGCCCAAACAAACATGGCCTTAATGTATATTCATGCCTTCACTCCCTACTTCCCCCTCCCCTCCCAACAAAAACTTGCCATGACAGTTATTGAGGGTTTTGATACCAACAAAACATGTTAATGAGTATTTTCTGTTTTAAAGCGATAGGTTCATAATCTTGCTACATTATTCTTTAAGCATTGTCATTTTCCGTTTTGTATAGAATTTTTGTTCGTGTATCTTTAGTCTAATTAGGGCTGAGCAGGAATTCGTGAAATCTATAATCCGATCCGATCCAGTCCAATCTGATAGGTTTGAATTAGTTTTTTAAATTCGTGGTTTGGTTCCGGATTGAAAAATTAAAAATCCGTAATCTACAGATCGGTTCCGGATTGAACCCCACGGTTCCGGATTGTAACCGATCCGGAACGTATACAAATAGCCTATATTCATATTATACACCTTCCAACATAGTATCTTCTTTTATTCTATATAAAACATAAACCTTAACTTAAACTTGCATAGTATCTTCTTTTATTACTTGTGTTTGTTGGTTTTTAGTATTAATTTGTAATGGTCTAAATACTTATTGTGGAATCAGTTTTCTTATAGTTGTTAAATTTTAGAATAGTATGTCACTATTATAGAAACAAATGTTGCTATTGTGGAACTAACATGATGCTACGTTTATGTTTTTATGAAATTAAAATATTATATATATTTTTTTGTTATTGAATTATGTGAATCCTTGATCCTAAACTGATCCAATCCGTGTTTAAATGGATTGGTTCGGATTGATTCCATGATTTAAACGGATTGGATTGGTTCTAATTTTTCAGGAACCGTAAATAGCGAATTGGTCCTGATTTTACCACAATCCAGATCAATCCAGACCATACGCGCCCCTAAGTTTAATAGTAATAGTGATGGTGTGATATGATAACAGATTTTTCTTAACTTGTGTTTGGATCTTAAATTAGTGATAATAAAAAAAGAAGCAAGAGAAGAAAAATAATTTTTTTATTTCCACTCAATAAGTTTTTCCTTCCCCTCACAAATTGAAGATCCAAACACAACAATCTTAGTGCGAAGCAAGGAAGGAAGAGAGGCAGAGAAAGAAAGATGGAGGTTAAAATGCAAATAGACCTTGCTTAGGGAGGTAACCCTTTTCTAGCAGAAGAGGCAAAGCAGCAAATGCAAGAAAGGAAGGCAAGCTGCTAGTCCTCAACACAATCCTTGGGAGCTTAAGACTGTCTGCAACAGACTGTGAAAAGTGCCATATAGCATCTGTTATCAAGCAAGCAATGGGCTCCTTCACCTCCTCTTCAACACCAGATAACACCAGTCCAGCAAAGCAGTCCCGAAAGGCGGCGACGCAGTTGGTGTTGAGGAGGGGGAGGAGAGCGATGGTATCAGATGTGGAAGCTTCACTCTCGGTCTCCGACAAACCGTCTGGGATGGGGCAGAAGGTGAAGTGCGGGTAGCTGGATATGGTGGGAGAGTTGAAGCGAGTGTGGATGATTATAATGGAGAAGAAGCCTGTGGCGTGAAGGATGTTAGCAAGCTGAAGCGTGGGGTTCATATGTCCTTGCAACGGGATTGGAAAGAGTACCAAGCGCCGGCCTTTGCTTTCATGCTTTGGACTCTCTCTTCCTTTCTCCATTAATGCCGCCTTCTTTCATGCAACAAGAAGTGACTAAGTTTTCTTTGGTTATGGTGTTTCTCACCATAAATTGTTTGTCGGAAATAGGGTGGTTATTGTAACCCTGAGGCTGATAGGGTCCACTTGGGGGTTAGATTTTGATATTTTGATAATTTAAAATATTATTTTTTAGAATTTGTCGATTAAAATACGCTTAAAAAAATCAAGTTAATTGAATATCAGTAATATTTTTCATCAAATCACGTTTGAATAAAAAAATAATAAATAGAATTTTAGTTATAAAATTAAATACAAATGCTATTTGACGAAAGAGTTACTAATATCTAATAAATTTAATTTTTTCTAAATATGATCTCCTTTTTTTTTTATTAGCAAAGAAAAATTTTCATTAAAACATGAAATTAAAAGTACAGGAAGACGACATGCATCGAGAGAGATTTGGAAAGTACGAAATACCCCTACAACTGGTACTCGCATCCATACAACCAACCCCTTGGTCTCATGGTTTTTTTTTTTTTTAAAACAAAAAAGAGTTAAGAATGACTTAACTAGAAAATAAAATACATGAATCCCCACAAGATCAACCCACACAACCCAAAACCAAAAACCAAAATCAAAACACCCAAGCTGCTCCTGCATTTCTTTTTTCAACAAACTAAAATTTTCTGCTCAACACCCAAGCAACTGCACTTCTCTTTTTAACGAACCACACTACTATTCAACCCAAAAATTTTATTCACCTATGTTGCTGCACTCCCAATGCCCACACCACCCAAACTAAGTCTTTTCAGCAGCCCATACCACCAATTCCAAGACCCACGCCTGACAGCTCCATAGCCGACAGCTCCATAAAAAGAAAGCTTTCACTTGAAAATTAAGACAGCTCCATTCACACTTCTACCACCATAGACAACTCCATTCCCAATCCCACCTCTGCCACTTTAGCAGCATGCTCAACCACACCATCGTTACAATTTCCCATACCTGCCACATCTCACTGCTACGGTCGAGAACCCTGCCACATCTCACTGCTACGGTCTACCTCATCACCTTTCTTCTCCCCCACACTCTCCACGCTCCATGGTAAGAATTCTGAGCAACCTCTGTGTATGCCGGACCAACACCAACCTGCTGGTAGCTGTGCCTGTAATAACTCAGTTCAAAAACAACCATGGCTGAAGCTACCTTGGCCAAAGCCAGACACACCGATGGAAGCAAGACCCACTGCCACAGCTGAACAAAACCAACTGTCACCTCCACTCCTATGGTCGAAACGGCTTCTTTTTCAACCCAAACATCGAAAACACACCCACTACTGGAACTAATCCACCGCCCCTATATTGTCGACCCAACGCCGACCTCCTCTTAATCAAAACAACCTTTGAGCCACCACCACATATCTGGACGGAGTTCACCCCTCAAACTTCCACACGCATAGGAGTGCTCGAATGAAATCCTACACAAATTTGGATCATCTTCGACACTAATGCTTGATTAGTAAATTTACACCTTTAAAATATTAGTTCTAAGTTTATCCTTTTTTGATTGATTTTTAAACAAATCAGTAACATGTAATGGTTCTCATTACTGGAGTAAATTTAAGAGTGATATTTTTGAAGTTTTAAACAATTTTTGATTTAACTCCTATCATCAAAATTATCGATAAATTATATTGGATTTATAAAATTCTGAAAGAAAATTTTAGTGAAAATCAATTAAAATTATGGCAACGTAGTCTACGTTATTGTAATTTGAAAATAAAAGACCCTAATGTTATCATCAGAGTAAGACCAATGATCTGTACTAGACAAGATATAGATGAATTTGATATTCAACTTTAAGAACTTTTAGACAAAAAGTTAATTGAAGAAACTAGAAACCCTCACTCTAGTCCAACTTTTATGGTAAGAAACAATGTTGAAATTAATAGAGGAATTGCCCGAATGGTAGTCAACTAAAAACGACTAAATAAAAATTTAGAATTTAATGGATATTTTATTTTAAGAAAAGATGTTTTGATTAACTTAACCAAAGGATCAAAAATCTTTAACAAATTCGATTGTAAAAGTGGATTTTGGCAAATTCAATTGACTGAAGAATCAAACAAATTTGACAGCTTTTAGTACACCTAGAGGACATTACCACTGGAATGTTATGCTTTTGGGGTTAGATATAGCACAGGTATTTTAACGGTGGATGGATACAAATTTTAAAGATCTTAAAGATTGTTGTGTAGTTTATATTGATGATATACTTATCTTCTCTAAAACCCGGGAGGAGCATAAGCAACATT